CACGAGCACTATCATACCTTTAAGGTGGCTCAGTGGCTAAGAAACTGAGCTTGTCGATCAGAAAGGTTGACAGTGCGGCGGTTCGAATCCCGAGCACCGCATAACAGAGTGAGCTCCCGATACTTGTCCCAGCATCTGCCAACCTAGCAGTTCAAAAGCATGTAAAAATGCAAGTAGAAAAATAGGAACCACCTTTGGTGGGAAGGTAACAGCATTCCATGCACCTTCGGCTTTTAGACATGCCGGCCACATGACCACGGAGATGTTTTTGGACAGAGTTGGTTCTTCGGCTTTGAAATGAAGATGAGCACCACCCCCTAGAGTCAGGAACGACTGGCACATATGTGCGAAGGGAACCTTTACTTTTACCTAAGTTTTTAAAACGTCTCCAAATTATTATTTTTTAAACAGGCTACTATATTTTGATGATTTGGATTTTAATATTTGTGGCTATCATTCTGTTTGTATGGTTTCATAGTAATTTAACAAGAGACTTCTATAGCTGGCAATATAATTAGTTTACTAAGTATATAGAAGTAACAATAGTTCTAAGACTTTCCACTTGTGTAAATCAGTCATACTTCAAGAGTAGACCTCACTATTTTACGTTTAATGGACCATATCTGGCTCTTTGCCTGTCCCTGTCCAGTCCTATTCAAGAATATAGGGATGGTAGACCAAGCAGAATTTAAAGTGTGCCATGTGTCAAATTCTTTAACATTTTCTACAAAAAAAGTTCAAAATTCTTATGTAAACATCAAATAAAAAATTAACAAGAATTTATGTCATGACCACTTTACTCTGATTTGTGTTTTTAAAAACAGAAGATTAACATGAATTGGTTAATAAAAAGAAAAGTTAATTGGAAAAGAAGTCTAAAAACAGTCCCTTTTCCACATCAAGGGGGCTATTTGAAAAATGTTTTAATTATGAGAATAGAAAGCACTTATTGGACATTTTAGTGTTGCCCATGCACAATGACCGTCAAAGTAATAATGATTATTACTCCCAAGGATACTTTAATTTGGATTCTTTCACTGAGTAAGAAATTTAAACTGATGGGCAAATAGCTATTTTTGATTCGGATTCTGCCTATATCTAAATAGATATGTATAGGATTTAACTGGAAAAAAATTACATTTGATAGCCAAACATGTTCATATATTTAATACTCCATGTTATAATGGAAATGGGACATTTTATGTTTCGTTTTTGTTAAGATCTACATAGCTGTTTCAGTTTTACCACTGTTTATTGCAGGGTTTTTTCAATGAAGATCAATTAAAAGCCTTGAATAGTCACAGGCAGATGGTCAATGATAAAAGGAGAGCCCAGATAGAGGCAGCATTCAGGAAAGCTGTGGAATCTGCTGAGCAAGAGAAAAACAGCTCCTGCAGAAGGGATGTATCCAACATAATCAAACTACGAATTGTAGATTATGGGACAAAAGAAAACTCAAAAGGTAAATATGCTCTTAATCCGCTCTGAAAGACATACTGACCGTAAAAAATTGTAATAATATATTATCTAAGTAATGCTTTATTCATATAACCTGTTCATTTGAATTCATTGTTTGTCACCTCTTGATACAGTTTAACTGTAGCACTATGCAAATAGTAACATTTCTAAAAGTAAATTTAAAATCTTCTTTTACAGATATGGATATTATGTGTAGTTTTTGTTTATTAAGAATAAAATACAGGAAGGCCTCAACTTGGTGACCTCAATTGGGACCAGAACTTCCATTACTACACAAAACACGCTTGATTTTATGACTTTTTTGCCACAGTTGTTTAATGAATCACAAAGTCATTGAGCGAATTGGCTTTTCCCAATGACTTTGCTTGTCAGAAGCCAGCTAAGAAGGTCACAAATGGAGATTAGGTGACTGGGATGCTGCAGCTGGGATGCCAGTTGTCAAGCACTCAAATTTTGATCATGTGACCATGAAGACACCGATAGTTGGGCAAGGACTGGTCATAAATCACTTTTTTTTCAGTGCGATTATAACTTTGAATGGTTGATAAACAAATGGTTTTAAATTAAGGACTATATATGGTCAATGACCAGCAAGAATATTTTTTTAAAGATGCACCATGTTGTCAAAATACAATCTATATTTTTAATTCTAATTTTAGAAGTTATACTGAACATCTGGCGTCCACCCTCACATGTTTGTAGCCTCTTAAAGGAAGGAGGACGATATAGAATTTTACAGTTATCTGCATCTCACTCCAAAGGCAAGTTGAAAACCAGCAATGTACAGTTAACAGCTACCAAGAAAACCCAGTATCTACAACTGCCAGTAAGTGTTCTTTAAGACTTAAAGTGAGCTACTTAAGCTACAGTTTTATGCAATTTTCATAATGTTATTATCTATAATGCTATTAGGTTTCTCAAGAAAGTCTATTACAAGTTTACAGACCAAGGGAATGTCTGCTATATGGTAAACTAATGGAGCCCTCCTTCCGACCACCTTGTTCTGAAGTGGATTTGGTGGGATATGTAGTTTACTTGACAAAAAGAGCAGGTATGTTACATATTGTAATCACACTTATAACATATATATAAGTAATTATATATGCATTCCAAATTGGTATCTTTAAAGTCTTTTTTTTTCCTCCCAAACTGAAATGTAGAAGTTGTAAAATTTCTTTGAAGTTTCACATAAGCGATGAAATAACCCACCTCACCCCCTGGGTAAAATGGATACCTTCTACCTTAGTTTGTTTATGTAATAAATGGTGAAAAATCACCGGGTTTTAAAGTTTTAAATTTAAATAAATATATTTATTGTAAATTTAAAGTGTCTACATCTAGTTGTGAACAGAAATCATAGACACCATATAAATCAATCAATTAATGTTAATGTGATCATGGACCTGCATCAGGTCATCATAAACCAAGAATTGCCATCTACAAATCCTAATATTTTAATGGTGTATCAGGAAAGTGCTGATTTGTAATATTTTCCCTTCTCCTTTCACTGTACCAAGCTCCATCTAACAAATGTGTGATATTCCATGGGCGTGTGTTTACTTTCTTTAAATTGGGTTTCATAATAGCTGAAAATTTAAGCCACAATAGTGTTATACATAAAAAAAGAGTTGGGTTATTTTTAGTTTTCTTGTGTTTGTTATTGTATTACTTTTAATAGCAATAGCAATAGCAGTAGACTTATATACCGCTTCATAGGGCTTTCAGCCCTCTCTAAGCGGTTTACAGAGNCTACCTACCTACCTACCTACTGCATTTCTCTCTCTTTCTTTCTATTTCTGCCTACCTACCTACTCTCTCTCTCCCTACCTACCTACTTTATTTCTCTCTCTCTCTATCCCTCTATCTACCTACCTACTCTATCTGTCCCTACATATCTACTGTATTTCTTTCTCTCTCTCTCTTTCTATTTCTTTCTCTCTATCCCCCTACCTACCTACACTTTCTCTCCCTACTTACCTACTGTATTTATCTATCTATCTCTATTTCTCTCTCTATCCCTTTATCTATCTACCTACTTTTTTTAAAAAAATTGCCTCTTCAAAACCTTGGTGTGTCTTATGCTCCAAAAATATGGTACATAAATAGAATGAATGTTAACGTTTCTCTTTTAGAAATGGTTTCCTCAGAGTACTTCTCACTCCAAAATAATAATTCTGTCCTAACTATAAACCAGATTTACAATTCATTGCATTAACAGAATCATACCCTACTGTATGTACCCAATTGTTTAAATAAATATCGCACCCTCACATTCAATAAATGATCTGCAGGTTGTCTTTTCTATGATGAAATACGAAGCAATATCAGACGGAATCATTTTCTATTTAAGCCTACTAAAGCATACCAAGCTTTGTTCCTGCTGAATGCAATGTTCAAACCAAGCTTCCATAGATAGGGTTTAACTGCTGTGCTTGATTGGGTTTACTACTGTGTTTATGAACATAGTAATCTGCCACCATAATGGTGTTATTGTTTCAAATTAGATTGAAAACTGTGTACCACTGAAGTTATAAATTGATTTTGATGCAGAAATATGGTATCAGCCTTCTGATGAGCTGAATACTAAATAACACAGGTTTATGGGATACAAATTAGGTGGTCAGAGTTTCTGTTTTTGCAGGGAAGAAGAGTGAGCCACAGGTGGAGGGAACACTTGAGTTTGGACTATCTGACTTCTTCCTTGTTTAAGCAGTAGCTACCTGCCAAAGAAGATAGCTTGTTGTTTTGACTGAACTGATATCAAGAGTTAACAACAATAGTTATGGGAGGCTCATGGAAGGTCTAAAAGATAGTGGAGAAAATGTTCGATTCTGCCAATTCTTGATATTTAAACAGTATTTTTTAAAATAGGGTGATCCTGTTTGGTTCTTGTTTGGGTGTGTTTTTAAATGATGTTATAAACACAAGAAATTAAATATATTTTTATTGTTTTTAGGAAAAAAACAAAGTTATTTGGAATGGTAATTTTAAATTAATTGCTGGTGCTTCCTTTGTAACCTATCATGATTTGTTACAATTTCCTTTCAAAAATTTAACAGTCACCTTAAGTTCAGTTGTATTTGATTACTGTTAACTGGGAATTCACAGCAATAGGTATTTGAGACATATTAATTTTATGTCTCATTAATTTTTAAAACAGATAAAGGCAAAAGAATACTGCGATCCCATGCTCTAACAAGGCAACAGATACGTGGTCTACAAGATGGTGCAGAGCTTTATGAAGCAATTATTAATTCTGCTGATCCATCTTATATGGAGGTAAGTTTTTTTTTTAAAAAAATCAATGCTAGAAATAGTCATTCTACAATTTTTTGCCTTTTTGCCAGAGGGCTCCAGTTAAAAAACAAACCCAATGAATAAAGGGGATAAAGCAAAGTAGACACAGGTGGGGAGAAGCAGGAAGACAGAATGAAAAACTCCCACCCCCCAAAAAAAGAGATGGTGAAAATTAAGAGAAATTTCATTTAATATTTTAAAAGAGCTACATTTCAACCATTGTTACAAATATTGGGAAATTTAACAAAGACAAATGTATAACTAAATTCATTTGCTACACAAAAATGTTTGAGGGCTTAGATGCATTGTTTGAAGTAGCCATTTAAGTTCAATTTGGAATTTGGAATTTTATTAACATTTATAGGCCGCCCTTTTCCCTAAGGGGACTCAGGGCGGCTCACATAAAATCAGGAGGGGGAATACAAACAATAACATAGACACATATAGGTAAAAAATAATGAGCAACATTCATTCATCATTCGGGAGGGGCGGCTATCTTT